AAGTTGCAATATGAAAATACAAAAAATGTTCACAATTATCATTTTCAAATAAAGAATGTTGGCAATTTTATGGTGAAAGAAAAAGTAATTGATGGCCGGCATAATAAAATCCATAGTAAAGAAAACAGCAACTGATCAATCTGTGCAAAGTTCAGGGTTACAACAAACATAGCAAACAAGTGTTAATAATTCAAATATTTACACATACACACAAATAAACAAATCGAAAATGCTAAATATTGCTTTGAGAAAATCCCATCTGGCGATCGATTCATTCATTTATTTCAAATAATATTTCACATGAAATATATTAAATCATTAAAAATTGTATAACATTATATAAATGTGGTTAAATAAAAACAAACACAAATATATGCTAAAATTTCAAATAGAGAAATCGAATGAAATATATGAGAGGTCATATTATATATGTATCAGAACCGATTGAATTTAAATTGGATACGTAAATGTGACCTGATTTGATTTACACAGACAGACTGACGGATTTAGAAACTGTTTCTAATTAGATTATCAAAAGTAATAACGGAAAACCAGAAATGGTTTTGGTTAATATAAACAATTACACAAATAAATGTTTTCAGAAAACATCAAACACTAATATCAATTGAAAATCCTATGTAAACAAATCGAAATGTTTTAATTTTAATAGAAATACACAATGGTTCTATTCCATATCCTACAAGAATCTTTAATTAATCGAACATTTTTTCGAGTTTCCCTTTATAAATTTGACAAGTGTTACCAATTTTTGAGTAAGGAAACAGGCCAAACCGGAGACAGTTCTAAAAATAAATACTTACATACACTTTTCGAAATACCACAAAGATAACAAAATAAAATTATAACCACCTAACTGCTGTCTAGTTTCTCAGGATTTTCATAAATGCACTGGTGGCCAAAACTAAAGCAACTGAACTTGCAAACTGAATAAATGACCTGTGATTTTTTTGAAAATGGAGTTATACTGAAAGTTTTTTCAGATATAAAATATATATATATATATAATAACATATAAAATATATTCTATGGAAAACTAAATTGACCCAATTTTTGCTTGGTCAAAACTAAAGCAACTTTTTGATTTTTTCTTATAAATAAGCAATAATCGACCTCAAACATTATTTTCATTAGGGCAGCACACCTACGTGCCACTGAATCAATAAGATGATCAATTTGATCCTTGGATAAAAAAATTTTAATATTTATATGTTCTTAATGTAAATTAAATTGTGTATACATTTTTTTAACCCTTTCAGTGTTTTTGTCGAATATATTCGACATTTAAAAGTACTCTCTTTCTTTGCGATTTTTTGCTTATCCTATGTACCGTTACTATTGATGTTTTTGTTTTTGCTGAAAGACAGACGAAATTCGCCGAGGGTCAAAATGGCAATTGCTATGTCATATAAAGGATTTTAAAAACTAAATTTTAGATTTTTATTCCCATAAAATTTTTTTTTGACACTGAAGGGGTTAAATAATATACTGTAATTGTTTATTGGCCTTTCGGCCAATAAATAACAATAAATAACAATTAATAAATAAATAATATACTATTCCTTGCATCATGAACCTTTGCGAAGAGGTTATGTCTGTTTGTGAAGCTCATTTGATTATTCCATGATTTTTCCAACGATTTTTCTATAGGGTAAAGATCTGTTGATTGTGTTGGCCATTATAAAAACTGATTTTTAACTCGTGCAATCTTTGACATATTTCGGTGTATGTTTGAGATTACTGCCAAGCTGAAACACTCAAGCGGTATATTTTCTACTCCAAAGGAAACTGTAGCTTTTTCAACACATTTGTATAAAAAATCCGATCCTTTACCGCATAAATCTCGCAAATATATCAAACTCCATAAAAAGAAAAACCGCCCAATGCCATTATTGACCCTACTCCATGCTTCCCAGTACCATTGCAATAGTGTGGCATGAGCCTTTCATTTTTGGACTTTCTCACCATATATTTTTCATGTCTGAGTCTTTAATATTTAATTTTAATTAATGTGAGAGCATAATATTTCTCCACTGAGTCAAATTCGAATTAATATGAGCATTTGCGAAAGGCAATCTGGCTTTCCGATTCTTTTCAGAAATAAAATTACTTTCTTGATAGTTTCCGGACATGTAGGCCTGCTACCATAGCTCGTCCACGCTCTGTTCTTCGGAACAGTTCGTACTGACAATTTATTGATCAGTACGAACTGATGTTCTTTTGCAGCCTTCCTGATCTAGTTACATAAAACCAACTTATAATTCGAAATATTGCTGATTTATTTATCCTCCGAAGTAATATTCTGTGATAAATTATTTTCAAAATCTCTGATGATTAGCTGTTTTATCGGAATACCATTTATATATATATATATATATTTTTGTTTGCAGTACGAGGGCGGTTTGGAAACTTCTTTGCCTATCAATGAAAGAGAATAGCGTGGCATAATTATGAAAGGTAGTCTCATTTCAGAAATTCATGATGACAACCTCAAATAAAATGACATCAATTTCAAATAAAATGAAAAATAAATTCCATAAAATTGCATGTATGTCGATTGGCAAATTTTCAACAAATTGGACAAAATATATTTTCTAAAGCTGAACATTACTCTCAAGATTTAACCATGATTGTTACAACTTATATTTATAAGTTTTAGAGGCAGATAACTTCTAAAAATCAAAATCAAATTCAAAATAATTTAGCAATTTTTGTCACTGAACACATAGTATGCGTACGTTTCGAAGGAATATATTTTAATTTAAATTTTGAAAGCTGAATGCTGTCAAAGGCAAATTTATGAAAAAAATTGGAAACATATGATAGCATGAGACTACCTTGTATAATTATGCCAAGGAGAATAGTTAGATTTTCAAAAATATTTTTATTTTTCATAGTATCCTGAAATATTTCCTCAAGGTCTTCAAAATAGTGGTTTTCAACTGTAATTGCATCTCCATTTGAGGTAAAATGCTTGCCAGCAAGGATTTTTTTTTAAATTTGGGACCAGGTAAAATTATAGTCAAGCAACTCGAATTGATCCAAAAGGTGGCAATATTACTCTGCATTTACTGCATATAATCAATCAATAAAATACCTTGTGACTACTTTGTATGAGATATACTTGGTAATACAATTAAAAGGAAAACATGTAGAAGGCTTTGAATTTGTATGTCAAGGAAAAGTTTGAGGAAAATTGAAAAATTTTCTTCTGGGATTCGATTTTTGGTTTTCGGGCTGGAAGGAAGTAAATTTTTATATTAATGCCACGAAATTGATGATTGGGTATAGTCAGAATGTTAATTGGGCTGACAAAGTTTACGTCGGCATGGTAGGGAGGGAAAACCGACGAATCTCAAACACCTAAGGTTCAAAGATCATCCTTCATACTAACTTTGACCATCGCGAATATAGATGTTAAAATTAAGCTACCAATAAAACTTAAATATTCATGTAACTGGTTGAGGCTTATTTCTTCTGAGAAGAACACCCCCAAGCCCTGAGCACGGTCGGAAACAATGGTAGCAACAATCAGAAGAAATAGAGTCTGGTGAGGATCGTTACATAATTTTAACGGCGCCCAAGGTGGGGCGCCATTATGCGGCATTTATTAAGCTTGGAATTTTGGTTGCTTTAGTTTTAGCCACCAGTGTATGTGTTTATCATGCAATATATATCAAAAACGGATATTCAAATATCAATACCTCGCAATGGTGTACGACATAGAAATCTATAATAAATTATTGCCATGTGCTCATTTGATTTTGTTTAAAAACTTTTCTATATTTAAAATAAATCAATAATTTCCACCAAATTTTAAATGTTGTTATTTTCGATTTTGCTAATCTTTGTTATTATATATTTTTTGTTCTCCTTTTTTTCAAATAATTCCATTGCAAATTTTTTTCGCTTGTTTCCATACGGCAATTAAAAGAGGTGTGAAAATGTTGTGTTAAAATAGACTTTTGTTTATATTTTCTATTGCGTTTCGTTTGTTTATTTTACCGGTGGCAAAATGAAGAGGATACAGCGCATTTGCCGAGCATTACAATCAGCTCATTAAAATGTCATATTGGCATGGGCATTTTTTTTCAAATACCATACAAGTGCAATGAATGATTTTGTGTGTTGTGTTTTATTACTGCATCAAATGATGTGTAAATAGATTGCCGATTTTGGAAGTAAATAAGAAATTTATATATTAATAAATAACTAATTGGATCGCCATGTGTGATTGTGATGTGTTGTGAAGTGAATTTGAATTTGTTCTATTGAGCTAATAATTTTATTCTAATAAAAAACACAAGAGAATAAATTCAAATGCGTTCATTTTACATAACCTTGAACTTCGCCATGCAAATAATTTTTTTTATCATAAAAATATATATTTAACCGAAGACATACATTTATAATATTTAAATATTATATATCGTCCGTTGTTTAAAATGTGCAGCTGTGAATGTAACCGATAAATTAATTTTTTTTCAATTCAATTTAAAAAATAATATTGAACTTCGCCATGCAAGCTATTTGAAACCTAACCTTCTTATAAAAATAGTTTAATTATTATCAACAGACTTTCATTCACATTTGTGTGGTATTTTTAGTCCCGTAATTTCAATGACTTCCAGTAGAAAGCAAGCAAAAATCTAAAATATGTAAAAAAGAAAATATAATTCTGATTGTTGTTTTTGCTGTGTTTCTTAGCGATATCAAATTAAAAACATGCAAAAACCACGTACATGGTGTATCGAACATTCTCAACATTAAAATACAAGTACAAAACTTATTGTAAATGGAAACAAATAATAATTCCACAACTAATTAATCATAATTACACTTAAAGTGCCAATTTTGTGATATCAGAAGAAAACAACAAAAATTAAAACAAAAGTCGATAACAACGACGCCTACATCAATCTGCAAAAAAGAAAAGGTTTCCAACTAGAAACAAATAATCACCCAAAAACATTTATAATTTGGAAAGAACACATTTTGCGGATTTAAATGTTGGAACACGATAAACGGCGAAGGAATGTCATTATGGAGCTGGTGAGGAGGTACAAGGAGGGTAAACTGACCACATCTCATGTCAGAGCATTAAACAGTATGTATTTTTTATTTGTATTTCAATTCGAGAACACTTGTGTTTTTATATTGAATTTTTAAATGTAGATTTATTGCAAATTACAAATTGTTTATTTATATAGTATGTAAAAATTGTAAATGAGAAAAAAAAATTAATAGCAACAATTGCAAACATGTACAAGTTATGTACATACTTTAATGGGAACATTTAGATAAACACTTAAAATTGAACGAATTTTGGCTAAAACTTTTTTATCAATAGAAAGGATAATCCGCATATACCATACCCTATAAATACATAGTGAATACAAATAAAGAATTGTTCAGAAATTACCTAAATTTACTACCTATTAAAATCGAATCAGTGCTTTGAACCCCGAACTTGTTTCCTTGGTGCTTAAAAGGTTTATTAACTTGTATTTTCATGGGTGATATTATATTCTTCTAGACTGAATTATGCCAAATTTCTCGGTGTAAAAATACCGATATCCAAACCAAATAGAAATTATATATCTATATCTGAATTTGACAAACACCACATATATTTGGACCGATTTTTACAAATAGGTCTCGTTCTTGTACCTAATTATCGAACTATAACTAATTTTAACACAGTTGGATGAATTTTGCGACCTATACTTGGGCTTAGATTTCTAAATATATTCTAAAAAAAAATCTGGACCTATTTTGTTTCCATAGCGTGGAGTACGGTCTAAATACCACATGTATCATTGAGTTAGACACTATTGTTCATTTTGGGACAATATTGTCAATGTTTATACCCTCCACCATAGTATGGAGGGTATATTAGTTTTGTTTTTCCGTTTGTAACGCATCGAAATAATTTCCGACCCTATATATATTCTTGATCAGCGTAAAATTCTATGACGATTTAAGCATGTCCGTCTGTTGTAATCACTCTGGTGTCTAAACGAATTGAGATAGATCGCCAAAATTTTGCATAGAGTCGTCCTTTGTCTGCGGGCAGGTCAAGTTCGATGATGGGCTATATCGGTCCACGTTTAGGCATAGCTCCCATATAAGGGTACCTCCCATTTTTCGGTATTTTGAAGTTCTTAAGCGTGTTTTTTAACTGAATTCGGAATAATCATTTCCGACCCTATACACTATATATATTCTTGACCAGCGTAAAATTCTAAGACGATCTAAGCATGTCCGTCTGTCCGTCTGTCTGTTGTAATCACTCTAGCGTCTAAACGAATTGAGATAGAGCCCCAAAATTTTGCATAGAGTCGTCTTTTGTCTGCAGGCAGGACAAGCTTGAAGATGGGCTATATCGGTCCATGTTTAGGCATAGCTCCCATATAAGGGTACTCCCCAAATTTCGGTATTTTGAGGTCCTTGAGCACGAATTCGCTGAAATTTGGTACTGTGAGTTCTTATTGGGTAGCAAATCTCCCTACTAAAAAATTATAAATATAGGACCATTTTTTCGCGTAGCCCCCATATGGGGGCTTGAACGCGTTTTCAGCCAAATTCTTTGTAATTTGATTTTTTGTAGTCGTATATGATAACAAAAATTATTAATATTCAGCCCCTTTTGGGGGTAGTCCCCATATAACCCCCTTTTTATATTAAAATAGTTATCTGATTTGTTCCGCGTATTCGGTTTGGTTCTAAGACCTTGTGTTAATCATTATACCGGCGGATGTTCGAGAATGAACTATATCGGCCCGCAGTTAGGTCTAGTCCCCATATAATGATACCTCATAAATTGCAGTATTTTGAGGATTTTATACTCTACCATGCGTTATCAATATCGGTCCACGTTTTGGGATTTTCAGATTTTTGGATAAATCCCCATTAAAAATTGCTGAAATTTGTATTTTGTGTATCGGTATAGGCCTACTTTTTGGTATTTTCCCTATATGTTTATTGCAAGTATCTGTCAGTACATCTGTGGTGGAGGGTATCGAAAGTTCGGGCCGGCCGAACTTAACGCTTTCTTCACTTGTTTAATATTCCATTTTCAATTTTTTTTTTATTTTCGTACTACACCAATGATTTTTGGGTTATATATTGGAAAAAATGTGCTGACTCAAAATCCATTCGCGATTAAATTTTTGGTTGGTGCGCGCAAATTCTATGGACGTTTTAATTTTGGACATAAGAAAAAAATTACGTTGATCGCACAAGAGTTGTTTGAGTGCTACGTAGTGCTATATAGAGTGTGTACCATAACAATGAGAACATTGGCGTCTATTTTGACCGGCCACAACGTGGCATTGACTTATCATCCGACGTACAGCACTTATACCCAATGACTTATTTTTAATCCCGTACATCAAGAAAAAATGCGATATGTTTGTCGACAGGTCGTTCATAGGTAGCGACTTTTGAGCATCATTTTAAAGAAATTGGACTAAATTATAAGTGGGAGCTGCTTGAAATTAAATTTTGTGTCCGACCAAGAGTTATAGCCGCTTTTATTCTTTATTTAAAAAACCAAACCTAACTATGTATATATGGGAGCTATATATACGTATATACAATTTAGATCGGGGAATACAGATGGAATAAAATTGTATGCAATACCAATCAATTATTGGCATAAGACATTTCCGTGTATAGGTCTAACAACGTGTACTATATTACAACATATACTATACCAATGCTTGCAAGATTGCTTGCAATAGTAGAAAAAGAGGAACTTTTTAGGATATAAAAAATTAAAAAAATATTATAATATTTTTCCTTGAGTGACTTATTTCTATTGTTTAAGTTCCTTATCTTTAAAAAATGTATTTATTTAAATAAATTTGTTGTGGTTTCCCATAACTTTGTGTTGTTATTTGCATGCTTACAATTTACGCATTTGTTTTTGTCGGTAATTGTTTATGTCCCCAAAAGGACGGTAAGTGGTTTTCTTCGGATAAAAAAAATAGAAGAGGAATAAAAATACAAAACGAAGTAAACAAAGCATAATTAATTTGGGCTAATGGTATGCATGGGGTAGTTCGGTGATTAATTAACATTTCTTTTGTTTATCAAATAAGGGTTTGCTATGAAATTAGCAAAATAAACAAAACAATTGTTTAATGTTGGGAATTTATTTGATTGTTGTAGTTGATTTTCGGTACCTCAAATCCATTATTATTAGAGATAACGTCATTTGAAAAATTTCTTTTGGGTGTCGTTTCGACACTTTTGTCACGTATGACATTTAATTTCTTAATTAGAAATGGAAATTTGAAAGTAATTTTGTGTAGTTATCATTATAAAAAATATATCAGTGGAAATATTTTTATAATACATCTAAGAGGATAAATAATCCAAAAAGTTAGTGAAAATTGGCACAATCCTTTGGAAATCTTGGGGTTTAAACAGAAGCACGACTATCTCAAGATACAGCAGAATATGCCTTCGTTGACTTTTCCCTTTTGTATGTCTTAGAGTCCGAAAAACAATTTAAAGCCAAATCGATTTCCACTTTAACCGGTCACTCTTCACAGTTCCTTTAAAAATGACTCTAGCGCTCAAAAATTTTTAATCAACTGACAAACTCTCACTGCCTTATTTTCCTAAAAAATCATCTCTCAGCTGATTTTACCGCTTTAATTTTTAATACATAATTCTGGCGTGTTAATATTTTATATTTATATTTCTCTGGCCCACTGTAAACCTCCAACATGTTTAAGATAATATGCCATCGATTAACAGGTTGAAGTCACATTTAAAACATACTAATTTAAATAACAAATATATATTTGGGTGTGTAAATAATCTTGATTGTAATTCAGTTAACAGTGATCAACTGGTTTTAAAACGCATTTAAAAATTCCTTTGTTAATATTCAAAAAATTAAAAATGAAAGAAATGGAATTTTAATGCACAACCCAAACAAAGCTTCTTAAAGAATGAAATTCAATTCGACAATACCTCAATTGAAAACATTTTGAAGATGAGCGCATCTTCATTCAAATCCCCACATGGTGATCGTGAAAAATAAAAAAAAACAAGAGCAAACAAACATTCAGCACCCCTCAAATACAAAAGCTTTGCGGGGAAGAGGCTTTATTGTGTGTAAATAAATAAATAAAATTGTGAATTGTGTTAAATAATTTCTAATTCAGTTTCAATATCACATTCAAATAAGAAAGAATACTGAAAACGTAGTGGCAGTATGACAAACATTACCGCTTCGGCAAATATTAGAGTCAATAGATGGTTGGTGGCGGGGTGGGGGATCTTTGTTTGTTTGTTTTTTTCTAATGTTATGGTTGTTGTTGTATTCATGGTTTACGGTCATTGATTTTGAACTCAGTGGAAGTGATATAGGTTGGTAATGTGGTATAGTCACTTTTTTTGTAAACTGAAAATTTTAGAATAACTGAAACATGTTCTATAGTTTGCTGTTCTCAAAAAAATAAGATAGCAATGACCTGTTTAATTTATTTAAATCACGTTGAGAATCAGTACCAAAAATAAAATTTTTCATGAAATTGACTTTTTTTCGGTTGAAGTTTAAAAATAATTTTTTGTATAGTCACTTTTTTTTAAACTGAAAATTTTAGAATAACTGAAACATGTTCTATAGTTTGCTGTTCTCAAAAAAATAAGATAGCAATGACCTGTTTAATTTATTTAAATCACGTTGAAAATCAGTACCAAAAATAAAATTTTTCATGAAATTGACTTTTTTTCGGTTGAAGTTTAAAAATAATTTTTTGTTTTACGGATGTACTTTAATCGTTATTACTAAAGCATTAAAATAATCAGTATGAACTAAAAATCAAATAATATGCGCGATTGCACCACATAATCACCAATTTGGAAAAAAAAACTAGACATTTCTTCAGTAAACACAAGTGTAGGTAATGTGGTATACCTTGATTCTGCATGAAAAAAGGCCAGCACTAGACAAAATCTCATTACTATGTGAAACATTTGTACTCTACGAGAGTCTACCATGAATCACAAGGATGAAAAACAAAGGCTATGAGTTTTAACAATTTCTCCATATAAAAATTAAATATTGCCATGTGTAGACATTATTAT